TTTAAAATGCCAAACTTCTTCATAGAAAAGTAGTCTCTAAACATAAGTATTTATGGGTTAAAGTGCTGTGGGTGGGTGCGGTCACATTTGACCTCTTGAATTTTGACAGAAAATCAAAGCAGTTAAATTTAGATGCTTGCCGTTTGAGAGGTTAAGTTAGTGCACATGTGCTTTAAGATGTAGAAATTACCTCACTCATATTGACTGACCAATCAGAAGGGGGAATAAATTGCACATCTGCTTGCTTCCACATATATGAAATATAATCCTGTCCTTTACTGATGAATAGTCTCCGTTGTGACCAAATTAATTCAAAGGGAGACCATATATACTGGTGGCGTGGCTTTCAGAGTGGTTAGCTTAAGTGTTTTCACATGTTCCTCATATAGGATGTTTTCAATGCCATAGGAACTTTTGAATATCTGCCTTTAACCACCTGACGCAATGATTTAAGTGTATTTTACGTATCATTTCTGGTATTATTATTATTTGCCGTAGTTGCTAGGTGGGTTGGCAACTGCAGTTTTTTTATTATTCTGTCCTGTTATGTGCAAAATGCTGCTTCCCATATGTATTTGAAACCAAGTGATAGGGCATAATAGTGAAAGGTGTGGACTGCAAACTCCATAAAGTTGTAAGTTCAAATCTGCCATTTGACTATTGTTGTAAATTACTCCTAGTGCAAGCATTTTCAGTTTACTTGCAGCAAATAAGAGAAGTTATTGTAATGTTAATAGTAAGGTATTTTAAAATTTATCAACGTAGGCTTATTGGATTGAATTTTGAAAGCCCAAACTTGTAAATGCCTCTGTCAGGGTCCCAAGAGTGTGAATCTACTGCTTTTAAAATGATATCTGTTAAATTAAGGGGACTCCCATGTATTTGACACTCACAATGTTTTTAATCAGTTAGAGAATTGTATCCATGTAGCTTGCAGAACTGACATCAGAAGGGAAAACATTATTCTTGAGCGGTAGCCTCATTCTGGTAAGCAAACTTGTGCCCCCCACTAGATAGTGGCAATCTGGTAAGACAGGCAGTCAATGGATTTAGGTGGCTTAGGAGTGTGTTGTTGCAGTGATGATGATTCACTATGTGGTAGGACTTGTTGCTGCCTGGAAGTCTGCCTGCGCAGTGATCATCCTCTTACCTGTTTCTGCCACAAGCCGCAGTATGTGTCCCAGCCTGAAGGACATTGAGAGCCAGTCATTTCAATATTATAAAAAATGGTATTGATGAAGAGAATTATGGTTGCCAATAGATATTATTACTAACTTGTACATTTAAGTAGTTTCCCATATTTATGACGAACTTTCATATTTTCAGAGGGATGAGGATGAGGAGCCCATAATTGTCTGTTTCATCTGTCATGCGAGACTCGTTCGTTGCAGGAGATTGCAACAACAGGTTATTGAGTCGAATGCAGTTCTGGAGCAGTTGCTTGCAGGAGGGTCCATGGTATTATTTATTCCATCCATTAAAACCTGTAAAAGTTCTCATAATATATTGTTTCATATAAGGGATTTTGCCAAATTTGCCACGCTTGGCAGGTTGGCAACCGCAGTTTATATTAGTCTGAGTTGTTATCAGGAAGATGCTGCTGCGCAACTGCTATTTCTGTTTCCCTCTGTTGCCACTTACGACCCGTCCCGTGGGTAGATATATAGGGTAGCGGATATTCTTACACCGCTACTACACGGTCCACAGTATTATACTTCTTATTAGTAAAAGTTCATTGCTTGATTTTTCATTCCCATTATAATGAAGTATTTGCCTTAATCATGACTTGGCAGGCACCTTGATGATCACTACCTGTCTCGTGCCTTCTATGCTGTTTCCCTTTGCCATATCAGAGAATGTTTTTTTTTACTGCAAAGTTAGTTTTCTTAAAGCAATGTTCTATATTTGACGAATTTCATTGAGTTAAGTACTTATTTTTACATAAATAATTTATGTTATATATTACTCTTTGTATATAAATGAAATATTATCTATAAGTAACTAGCTTGCCAGGCAGACGTTTTCAACGACAATTTGTCATGTCCTATTAAAAATCCTTAAATTCGCAAAAAAAAATTGTGGGCAAAAAAACTATCCCATCTCAAGTTGGACCAAACTGCACACGGTGTGCAAATTTGATTGAAATCGGTTAAGTAGTTTAAGAGTCCATCGCGGACAAACAAAGTGACACGTAATTTATATATATTAAGACATCACGCACTGAACAAATATTAATCTTTGTCGGTTTACAGCATTCAGGAGTCTGAAACAAATGATTGTTGAGACTCGATAGTCGGGATGGATGACTTATCTACGTTCTTTTTTAATTTTTTTCTGAACCCTCACGTCTGGTTTTCATTATTATTTAAACTTGTTGTCAGGAAGTAGCTGCTGCCCATCTCATGTTTCAGTTTCCTCCTGTCCCTTCTTACAACATCTGCGGGATGGTATGTGGTAGTGTGGATTCTCCTACGCCACCACTACACTGGATTTTTCTCTTATTTAAAAAAATAATTTGGTTTTAGTCAATACCAAAACCGTATGAGGCGAGAGATAAGATTCAATTCACAACAGTTTATCATATAGATATCTGGCCAGTAGAGTGTGATATAGAAAATGATTGTAAGGATAACATTTTCAACCTTCAATCTGTTAAAGTTGAGGAAGAGAATTTCCAATATGAGAATTCCAAATTTGAACTAAATGGGAATCATGACAAAGGTACAATATACCCTTTTTTGATATTATTAAAATAAGGTACAATTTATTATGACATATGACTAGTGATTACTGTAGCCCATGAACACAAAATAAAGATGGCAAAGTGCATGAAAACGTACTCATGGAGAGAGAAAAAAACAAATCAAATAATTATTTGAAAGATAAGCATACATAGACATCATAATAAGCTTTGTTACACATTTTCTTTTACTTATGTGTAAATATATTTATAAATGTTTTGACCCCTTTTACAACTGGTATGCTACCACCTATCTTTGCCAATTTCTTAACTTTGACAGACTCCTTTCTCTTACCTATTTCTGTCGTCAAATAGCAGTGCATGCATTATATATAGAGTCAGTATAATCACAGGCTGTGGGGCATTACATCTTAGTCGTCAGAGGTGACAGCGCATTGTAGCCTTTTATGATTCAAGTCAGCAGCAGGCAGTCCGTGGACTGCAGTACCCACTTACCATCAGGTGATTCAGCTACATGCCATAAGGTGGACTGTTAGTTTGTTTGTCACTTTATACTGAAAAATATTTGGACAAAAGGTGCTCAAAGTATCCATGTACTGGCAAGCACTTATCTACTAAAAAGAAATTGTTGCGGAACACTCACTAAATGAGGTGAATGAATCAACATCATCATTACAGCTCTTCACAAGTCCACTGCTGAACATAGGCCTCCCCCAAGGAACACCACGAAGCACAGTCGTGACCCACCTGCAACCATCGACTTCCTGCATGTCTTACTAGGTCGTAACGTTACTCCATCTAGTGGGGGACCGCCCTACATTTCGTCTACTGGCACAAGACTGCCACAATTACTTCACGTTAGGAGAACTGTTCTTCTCCATCGGTTGTCAGCTTATAAAACATGCAGTATGCTAATGAAAGAGAGTGGCTCGATCCCATAAGCTGTATGTATTTATATGTAGTAGAGCCATGCTGCAGTTATATGAGTAGTATAGTTGTAGCACGAATGGGTCGGCTCGACCGGGGAAGGACGACGCTCTCACAGAATACCAGCGTGAAATAGTAGCTTAATGCTGCTGTATTTCGTATGGTGAGTGTAGAGAACCGGAGACCCTTTTTACTGGAAACGAGGCAATCCATCTTAGTCCTCACGGGTGACAACGCATTTTGATTCGTAATCGAGGATAGATGTAGATGTCTATGGGCCATAGGGCATGCAATTCGGATATCCGGATATCCAAATTATTCGGATATTCGCCTCGTTTATTATTCGAATAGTATATTTATAATTATTCGGTTTTTACGAATATTTCGAATACTATCTTATTTTGATTTGTTTAAAATATCCGAACGTAAACCTACTAAGTTACGTGAAAAACATGCGTGGATCCGATTGTGGGTGATCATTCATCACGTAGCCAAAGCCGAAAATATGAAAAAAAAAAACTACGTAGCATGTATGCATAGTGCTAACGGTTTTACATTTCGTATCTTTGCGATATTGTTGTGAGTTGTGACGAATTTCAACAACAAATAATAGTATTTGGTTTGATCGAAATACCCAAGTTAAACTTAGATGATATGTAGGTAATCTACATTAACAATTACATTGCGCCGCTTTTTATTATTGATATTCCAATTGGACGATGCTTAATCTACCTCTAATTTATAGGTTATGTTATGCTTGTGTAGCAGTTTATTTGTTTTGCAATTCCTATTGGCACACTTTTGTTTTAAATACTTACTTTATAAAATGCTTTTTTCTATCATATTTTTTTAACGATAGATAAACATAATGCAAGCTTTACTAAGCACGTGAAATAAACGGCTGTTAATTTGGAATGTGCTGTTTTTGTGATTTACCATTTTTGATCTCGTTTTGGTGTTTTTATACATATCAATAACATAAACCAAAAACAAATTCTAAATTGGTTCTAAATTCTAAAGCAGTTCCAAATATTTATATATATCTCTGAAGAAACTTATTAACAAATATATTTGGTGTTGTGTTTTCTCTCTCCACAGATTAAAGATGGATGAAAAAAATAAACTTGAATTTAAAGAATATACTCGCTGTGCTGCAGATAAGTCTTCTGTTTGGCAACATTTTTTGCGGACATCAGATGGCCTTCATGCTCAATGCAAGATGTGTAAAAAAGTATTTAAAACCTCTGGAACAACTTCAAGCCTGCATAATAATCTTAGACTTGTTCATTCTATCCAGTTAGTTAAAAAAACATCTAACTATTCACTTCCGTCAACATCTCAAAAAGATATGTCATTAGATTCCGATGTCATAATGACGCCAGCAACAAAAAAGGCTAAAACAATAAATGACTTTTTTCATGTGAAGGAAGAAGATGACTTAGATACTATACTTGCGAAAATGACAGCAGTAGATGGTGTACCATTTAAAATATTCTGTTCTTCGGAATCAATGAGAAAGCTATTTGGAAAAGCTGCTTACAAAGATTTGCCTAAATCACCAAATACAATAAAGAAAAAGGTTCTGAATAAAAGTGAGCTACTGAAAAAAGAAGTAAAAAAAGGAGCTTAATGATATTAAGACAGCAGGAAAACAATTGGCTATAAGCCTAGATGAATGGACAAGTGCACGTAATCGCAGATACGTGAACGTAAATGTTCATTCACCAGAGCTTTCTGAAGGTATTAGAAACTTGGGACTGACGAAAATAAGGGGCCGTGGAACATCAGAGAACTAATATAATATATTGAACAAAAAATTGGTATATTACGGCTTGTCAATACAAAACGATATCTCGTGCATAATCTCTGACGGTGCAAGCGTAATGTGCGCACTAGGGAGAATGGTTCCCTCTTATCATCAATTATGCTTGGCCCATGGTATTCAGTGCGCTGTCCTGGACGTGCTATACAAAGCTGATAACACAGAAGGTAACACCGGCATCACTGTTAACAGACCTTGCGATAGCTCTGACTCTGAGGACGAAAGTGATATAGAGAACGAAGATAAAAATCGTTTTGTCACCGAAGCTGACCCCAGTGGGGTCATTCCCAAGCTGGTTTATAAAGAATTGATAACTAAAGTCCGGAAAATAGTAAAATTTCTCAAAGGTTCGCCTACTCGCATGGATATACTCAATTCTTACCTGGAGTCCAAATCTAAAGACACGACACTGATCCTCGATTGCAAGACTCGTTGGAGCAGCCTTGCTGATATGATAGCAAGATTTCTAGAATTCAAAGACGCAATTGAAAAGACATTAATTGATCTCAAAGAGAAGACTACCTTTTCAGATACTGAAATATTAATTTTGAAAGATATGTCTAGTTCTCTCAATTTCATAAAGGCCATAGTTGAAGAACTTTGCGAGCGAAAATCAAACTTACTAATCGCAGAAATTGCACTTCAATTCATGATGGAAAAATTGGCGATGAATCCAGACGTTATTAGTGGCCAGCTTAAAGAAGCTTTAAATAGAAGAATCTTGCAGAGGAGAAACGCTACACTGGTAAGTACGTTACAGTACTTACATAATCCTACAAAATATTATGACGAAAGGAATACTCCTCATGCATTTTCAAAGGAATCCCATGCGGAAATAATAGCCTTAATTGTAAAAATCAATGAGACTTATTTTTGCAAAGATAAAGCTGCTACAACTGTCTTTGAAGCTGAAGATGGCCTGCCTTTAAGAGAAATACAAAGACAGCAGCGCCTTGAAGATGAGAGGGAACAGGAGACAGCCAAGACATTCAAGGAACAGTTAAAGACAAAAGTTAATGAATCCTTGCACAATACTGCTGAGGTATCAACAAAACATTTGTCCGAAAACGATGACTTGGAAACGTCTGTCAGGGTGGAAATGGCGCTATTAGATCGAAGTGGCCCTAAAAGCATTCATCTACAACGTGTTTACGATTTTTTACTTACCATCCCACCTACAAGCGTTGAAGCAGAACGTGTATTTTCGGCTAATAGATATTTTTGCAATCATTTGAGATGTTCATTCAATGACGATACGTTAGACGCCCTCAGTTTCCTCCGGTCATACTTTATGAACACAAGAAAGTAATTTTTTGTATTTTTAAGTAAGTGTGGATGATTAAAAAGGTTCCTAATTAAAATGTTTAAGTAATAATAATGTTTCTTTTCATAAACTTAAGCACTATTCGTAAAATTCGTATTATTCGAAGTATTCGGATATTTTTTATTCGGTTATTCGGAAAATCCGAATACCTTTTTTGGACGAATAATGCATGCCCTGGGCCACAGCAACCACTTACCATCAGGTGGACTGTGTGCTCGTTTGTCACCCTATCCTATAAAAAAAAACAATGATGGACTGTAATGATCTAGTCGTTTGGAAAAAATATCAGTTTTTATTTTATATATTGAGCCAGAATCTGTTTCATTCTAGATACTGCTGAAAAACAAGAAGACTTGGAGATTGATGCTTTTGAAGATCGACAGAAGGATTCAGAGAACGAGTTGCCACTTATTTCATTAGATGCAAAGAGTAAAACAGATGACTTTGACATAGGTAAAAGAATTTATTTTGAAAAATCCGAATTTAAAAATAAAAAAAAAATATCAAAAAAACACCACATTAAAAATTTCTCTTGCATCATGTAGTTGGAGATGTACATACAAAATTTTGTTCTTTTATTACACATAAACCAAATGATTGTTTGTGACCCAAATGAACCATGATGATTATTTGTAGGCCATACAATTATAATAATAGTAATAATAATAATTTATTTAAAACTTTCACTTGTAGTACATATAAAAGAAAAAAAATCTTACATGAGATATATTACAAACATACTAGTGAGGGTGACGTTCTGTTCTCCTTGCTAGACTAAGAAATAGCCTGTATTAAGGAGATTCAGTCCCTGTACAAAAGTGATCGGAGAGCAAAAATTGCTCTTAACTTTTTAGTACTACAGATTTTGTGTGTGTGTGTGTGTGTGTGTGTGTGTGTGTGTGTGTGTGTGTGTGTGTGCGTGTGCGTGTGCGTGTGCGTGCGCGTGCGCGTGCGCACACACACACACATATATAGATTTGCAAGTCAACACAGAAATAGATTTGCAAGTCTCTGATATTCGCGATGTGTCTCGAATATCAGAGACTTGCAAATCTATTTCTACGAGTTTTGATAATTTTATTAGCATATCATATAGATCTTTATTCGAATCTTGGATCCTCTTGGGTAAATTGCGAATTTCAACACAAGTCTATGCAACTGCGATCATGAGTCTCCATTTTCTTGTATATATATATATAAAATAAAATATTGTATATGCATAAAATTTTGTGTGCAGGGAGTTTCGGGGGCAATAAATCGATCTAGCTAGGATTTATTTTTAGAAAATGTTTTTTTGTCCGTGTTTTTAGGCAATGAAAAACTGCTACAATATCGTTAGAATAAGAAGGTAAATTTTGACAGTTTATTGATGATTACAAATAGCTTAATTGGTATATCGGGCGGTCACAAAATCGTAATACCATGGTTCGAGCGCAGACCGACCGACCGACTTTTTTTAATTTTTTTTCAAGTTCCTTTTTTGAGAAAATCTATTTTTTCGAGCCCTTTTTTTTAGTATTTTTTAAAAACACGAAAATTTAAATTAAACTAATTGCACTCATGATTTTTATTCAAATAACCAGTTCAGTTTTTTCTATTATGTCGCTAATATCCAAAAATATTATTCGTATTTCATCAGTATGTAATTTTTATCTAAATATAATTTCCAAAACACACGAATTAAAAAAAACCGAGCGAAAAATACCGCGCAAAGCTCGGTCAACCGGGTACTATTCTTAATATCTATAAAAATACTGGTCAAAATGTATGTATGTATAACACTCTTTCCGTGTGGGATTCGAATCAGCGATTATTCGATTAATGTAATTATAGCAGGAACGAATTTAGATTTTTTACCATTCTTTCCCTCCAAAAGTGAATATGAGAGACATTATCCAGAGTAATTGGCTAAAATACTTTATATCTTACAACGTTAAATGAGTCTAATTATGGAAAATATTATAATTTCACTGTATCTCCCTGGTAAAGCATAAATTCCGCCCACTTTAAACCGTCTAATATATCTTGCAATAAAGATACAATGCCTTACAATAAATAAATATGTTTGATTCATTTGTATTTCAGAACAACCCTGCATACAAACAAATAATTTTTCAAAACTGTGTCAGAAAAAGATTAAATCAAATTCTACTGATTGTAACATAAATAATGTTCATAAAGGAATCTTCGATTTAAAAAGTCCTACTATTAAATCAAAGCGTAAACTGAAAAGAGATACTCAACCAGTTGTTAACAAAGCGAAGCATCCTGAAAAATTTCGCAGTGTAAATATACTTATGAAAAACACATCTGAGGCATCAACAAAATACATTTTAGAATGTGATGATTGTAGAAAAAAGTTTTTAACAAAAGATATTCTCGCCGACCACATATACAGTCATAAGACGCAAACGAACTCAGATGCAGTTCAGACACAAGTTGAACAAACTCCAGTACCACAACTAATGGATATATATAACTGTAATGTTTGCGAGTTTAAAACATCTCATAAACGTTATATTTTAGCACATCTTAAGGCGCACGACGCTAGGCAAGTGTACTGTTGTAATAATTGTGAATATAAATGTACAGATAAAGCAAATTTGAGAATGCATATGAAAATACACACCGGAGAAAAACCTTTCTCGTGTAATATTTGTGAATATAGATGTATTACAAAAAGTAATTTCCAAACACATATGAAAAAACATACCGGTGAAAAACCTTTTTCGTGTAATATCTGTGAATTTAGATTTATTACAAAAGGTAATTTGCAAAGACATATGAAAATACATACCGGTGAAAAACCTTTTTCGTGTAATATCTGTGAATTTAGATGTATTACAAAAGATGCTTTGCGAAGACATATGAAAATACATACAGGTGAAAAACCTTTTTCGTGTCGTGTCTGTCAATATAGATGTATTACAAAAGGTCATTTGCAAAGACATATGAAAATACACACCAGAGAAAAACCTTTTTTGTGTAATATCTGTGAATTTAGATGTATTAAAAAGAGTAATTTGCAAACACATATGAAAATACACACTGGAGAAAAACCTTTTTCGTGTAATATCTGTGAATTTAGATTTATTACAAAAGGTAATTTGCAAAGACATATGAAAATACATACAGGTGAAAAACCTTTTTCGTGTCGTGTCTGTCAATATAGATGTATTACAAAAGGTGGTTTGCAAAGTCATATGAAAATACATACCGGTAAAAAACCTTTTTCGTGTAATATCTGTGAATTTAAATGTATTACAAAAGGTAATTTGCAAACACATATGAAAATACATACTGCAACAAAATCTTCTTCGTGAGGTATCTGGTAAAATATGTACCTACGATCGCTGTTAAACCCCACTTCGCTGGGTTAGTTTTTGTGGAATATTTATTCGTTTATATTTTATTAAATTAGTTAGTTTTAAAAATAAGAATACATGATTATTCTTGTTAAACTTTTCAGTTTTTTTTCTTACTTACGTATTTTTTTATTCATTATACAAAAACACTTTACAGATAGTCATGTACTGAACGCCTATATTACAGATAGTCAAGTACTGAGTGCCTGTATTACAATACATTCTTATGCATTACATTTACTGTCTAGTGTTCTGGTGCATCTGGTGAGTTACCATGTCAAAAACGGGATTCTCCCAAATTCACTCCACAATATTGGAGCGTTTGACCTTGAGCCTTATTGATAGTTATACTGTAAGCCAATCATAGAGAAAACTGTAAGCGTTTAAAACAGAATGGTAAATCATTTGAAATGAATTGAATTCGTGGTATAAAAACGGATTTTCCTTTTTCTTTTCCAGTTAGAATTACTGCCTGAATAATGTTGTTGAGAAGTTGTTTTATACATAATCTTGTACCATTACATAATTTTGGCGAATTGAGATTTCATAATAGTATGACTGGTGATTCAATTTTTAGCTTCAATACATGCAAAGGCATACCAGGAGGATTGGGTGAACTTAAAAATTCTGTTAGGAAGTTCATACTTTCGTCTTGTTTAAATAGTACTAGTTTTTACGGATTTTATCACGTATAATAACTTTTTTTGTCTTGATTCATTATTGTGTCTATTGATTTATACAGTTTTTCATCTGGTGTTATATTCTGTATCCTTTCATTAATTTGACGCACTACATCGTGTTTAGTAGCTAAAATTGCTCGCTCACACAACCATGTCCTATTTAGATAATTCTGTACAATAGATGGATAAACTTTTTCAATAAGTTCTTCTTTTGTATCTACTACGTTACACAATTCTTCTGATAGAATAAGTTTTCCTAACTGTGAATGTATGCAGTGTAGTTTAGTTATCAGAAACCAAGACAGAGGATAATTTTCAGGATACCTTTGATGATGGAACGAAGATAAAATCGTTTAATTAGCTTTATTCACGCTCCATCATGTTAGTACAGCTAAATGGAATGATAATTTCATAAAAAAATCATGAAAATACCTCACCAGCAGAGAAAATTAAACCTAAAATCAGCTGATTATGGGGTCAAAAACGCGCGGACGCTGAACTCTTTTATATAGCTCGATGCGAAACAATGCAATAGGTATTACTGTACGCTCACTCTGCCCTTCCCTTTCACACACGTGATGTCGCCTCCCGGTCGACTCGTGACGCCTCACAATTTACACCTGTTCAGCGTTGCCAACATGTGGGGAATTTAAAATTGGTTGGAGATTTTTTGGGGATTGTATTATGCAGGGATTTTGAAAATCGATTGCCTGGGCCAAGTCAGAATCTTTTTTCAAGAAATCTATTACTTATCTTAACATCTTTATCAGGTTACTTATGAATATCGAATAACTCCCTTTTTAATTATCATCTTGCACCACATTTAATTTTCGGATTTTCTTGTTGGCAACTTTTGTGTATCATTTAATGTTTTTCATTTCTTTATTTTTTTATTTTTATTTTACAGCAGAGTAAATGCAGCTACTGTGTCCTTTTTTATGTCAACAAGGGAACGAATTAAAAATACTCCATGGAGTAAAATGCTTGTTTCAAAAATATGGAGTGTGAAAAAAAATTCATTAAAAAAGAAAAAAAAATGTTAGTTAAAAAATAAATCTCATAAAATTAACTGAAAATTGCTTCATTACTCAAAATAAAATTGAGGGGAATTTGACAAATAGGTCAAATTCCCCGAAAGTATACTAAAATATGTTAGTAGGTTCATTTCGATTTGGCTACGCTGCAACATGTGCGGCGATGCCAAACCGAAATTAGTTTTTGAGACAGTTCCGTCCGACAGTCAGTGACGTGCTCGTCGAGCGATAGTTCAAACGTTTTGTTTACTAAATGTTTGCTGTTATTACTTGTCATTACTTATTGTTTTTTACGTTTAGTGTTGTTTGTTTTGTTTTACTAATGCCTAATACGTACGTTTATAGTGCTCGTGAATACGGGAACATCTTATTTAAATACGGCTTCACGTCATCTATATGTTCTTTCACGCGGGTTTTTATAGATCTTTTTGTTTGACCTATGTAAGAGAGACCACATTCACAATCTAGCTTGTACACTCCTGCATCTTGTAGAGGGATATTACATTTGGTAGATAGTAAAAATTGACCAATCTTCTTCGACGGCTAGTAGTATGTTTTAATGGAAGCTCGCTTCAAGATGTAGCCAACCTTGTCTGTGACTCGTCTGACATACGGTAGTACAGCAGGCCACACGCTCGACTGGCCGGCTTCACTCGGTCACTGTGACGTAGGCGCGGGACCCAAAGCTTGTTGTCTTGCAATACTTGCCTGACGTGCTGAAGCTCGGCGTCCAGATGTTTTCTGTCACAAGATCCCTCGTGCTCTCCGAAACAAAGATTTACCCACGGTAGCTAACTGTGAAGGATGATGGTGAGATTCAACATTTAAATATCGGTTGGTATGGGTATTTTTCCTATACACAGTGTGACCAATAGAGTTATCTAGGAAATCTAAAGAATTATTTGCCTGTAATTTCATTGTGATTTTTTTTATAGTTTATGGAGTTAAGATGGTCTAAAAATGCAGTTACTTTGTCAGATGATAAAATTGTGAAAGTGTCGTCTACGTACCGCTTGTAGAATCTTGGATTTACAGGAACAGTCAGAAGGGCTTTCTCCTCAAAGTCCTCCGTGAATATGTCGGTGACTATGGGAGACACAGGTGAGCCCATCGACACACAATCTACTTGCTTGTAGAACTCCTCCATCCACAATAGATATCCAGACGTGAGGCAGCGTTCAAGTAATGTTGCATATTCTTCAGGCAGGTTATTGTCTTCTAGCTTCCTGGTTACAATTGAGATGCAGTCCTCAATAGGTGGGCATGTAAATAGTGACTGAACATCAAAACTGACCATAGTTTCATTGTCAGCGAGATGTAGGTCTTTTATTTCACTAACAATTTTTGTTCAATGTTTAGTGTTCGCGTAAATTTAAGAAATCATTATATTCTATCGGGTTTAGATCACAGTTGTATGATGGCAATCTTAATGTTTAATGGCCGTGATTAGCTGGCAATTTATCTATAGCGTAATCTTTCTCTGGTTTGTACTTTTTAACTAATTCTAAAATCTCATATTTTGTCCATGAATCGTCATAATTTATACCAATTTCGCGCAACCAATTTTGTATCTCACTTATTCGATTTACTACTGATGGTGGTTTACTTACTTGCATACTGTGATACGGCGCATTTTTCATCACCACGATGCCATTTGGAGGTATATAGGTGAAATTCATTATAAAGACTCCCTTGGGCTTTAACGTTTCATTCGTTTCATTATTTGCCATTGAAGTGAACATTATGGTTACTAATGATTAAAAAGTAACAGCCCTGCGACAAAGAGACCGACAGACGCAGTAATAGGGTTCCGTTGGGCACCCCGCCGGGTAGTGGTGGTGTAAGAATATCTACTATCCCATATCGCCATGTGGGTGTCGTAAGAGGCGACAGAGTGGAACAAATCAGGAGATGGGGAGCAGCACCGTCTTAATAATGACTAAAAATAAAAAAACAGGTTCTCAACCCGCTTGCGAAGCGTGGCAAGCATCGCACAAATCTCCAATCTATGGGGGAGGCTTATTCAGTAGTGGACTTTAATAGGATGTAACGATACGATACGGGACACACTTTGGGTACGGAACCCTAAGAACCGACAACGCTTGAAAAAACTAATATTGAATAGCGAATACAATATTTATGATTTATTATTTTATGGTACATAATCTGTTCGTATTATTAATAATAAACAAACAGATAGCTACTAGATAAACCTGGTACTCATCCTCTTTTTTTTATTCGAGTGTAAAATCCTATTGTCTACCTATCCGCCTTTGCATTACTATATTAAATTACTATATTGCAATGGGTGATAACGTTTCAGATTTTTCTCTTCCTCAAAATGTTTACTACGTTATATAAAATATAATGTAGTACTTTTCCGCGTTTATGGTCCATTATTAACATAATGTAGTCTTACGGCCTCTAGTTACCCGGGACCACTAGGAGTCCAACTCGACGAGTAACAGGAGGTCGGCCTAAAATGGCCTTGTGGAATATTAAGCTATAGCGGCTAACAAAGAACCAAACAAAACTTACCTTTTTTCGTCGAAGTAGGGTCAACCCTAGGAAGATTCAGGTGTAAGTATGTGTGTGATTGTGTTATGCTCAGTACGTGTTATATTATGTAACCTGACTTCCCGCTGGTTGCAGAACAGCAGATCCAAAGGCTTCACCTCTATTCCAATATGGGATCCATCGAAGGGGCCAGCAGTCACAGAAAACACTTCAGAGTCTAGGAAATTATGCTCGTTTATTACTTATTAATTATAGTCAAGTCAACTATCATCAAGTTAATCCAATCAAATTCAACAAGAATTAACCGAACCCGCGTTACAACACACGGACTGCTAGTGAAAGTACTATATCACCGGGCAGCGTAGCAAAAAACGTAAGGTTCGCGAAGTATAAACGTCTGGGTTGCGAGGCGGCAATTATATTAACAAAACGCGCAACTACACAGCTCCACGCTCCACGGCTAGTAAACGAAATCGGATGATGCCGGCGCGACCGTCTGCCGCACCTGCCCGCACTCCCCTCGCCTCCGCCGTCAGGCCCGTTTCCCGCTCGAAAACGCGCGCCGACGCAGGTTGCAAAACGTTAAAATTAGGCCTAAACTAACCCCCGTC